CGGACCCCTTACAGTAGTGTAGGAGTGGTGATTACTATCAAGGTTTTCCAATAATGCTGCTCCCATGAACAAATGTTGATCCTTCTGTACAAACACTGTCTTTCAAATACAGCAACTTGTATTTCTGACTAACCACATGGATATCTATACTGGGTTGTTGGTAATAGTGTTTGTACCACATTTGTCCATTATCCTGACAAGACCTCTTTATCCAGGGGGTTTCATGGCAAGGTGCTATCCATGTTTCATTTTTGTGCAATATCTATACATTTATCTGAACTACAGATCATTTTCTAATTCAGCCTTTTTTTAAAGTGGTGGTAATTGGCAGTATATTAAATATTGCCAATTATTTATCACACATTATTTACTTTGTTTTCAAATATAAAGTGTGTTTTTGGAATAATTAAAATAAATAAAATTAAGTGTGTATTATAGGGCAGTGAAATTTCGAGGATCAAAGAGGAAACATCACGTGGTGCCCACTATTAAAACAACTGAAAAAACTGAGATTTAAATAACAAAAGTTTTATTTTTATTATATGATCGTTTAGGCAACACAAGCCTAGGTTGATATATACTGTACTGTATTTGGAGAAACCACATCAGTTCATTTGGGCTCATTAAACGTTTAATAGGAGGATACAGTCAACAACAGTCAACAATTCAAGAAATGGCTTTTTTTTATTCAAGAATATACAGTAAAAGTATTCAGCAAAATGCATTTTTATTATAGTAAATCTGTTCAAATTAACAATATAGGCAGTAAAATACATACTTTTTTTTTTTTTTTAATTTTGGCCACAGTACTCTTCTTCTTCGAGAAGATACTATGATGACGGCTAAAGTCTCTTATCCTGTTACCCATTGACCATCATTGACTTTTCAAGGCTTGGTTCCTCGTCAGCACAGTTTTCCTTCCCAGTCCGTGGGGCTCCAGTCATCATGAATGAGTTTTCTCTTAGTAGGTGAGACCGTCCGCCACAACACTCCCAAAGCCTTTTCCCACAAAGGTAGAAAACCTCACACAGAGTGAGGAGGATGCACACGAAGCTCGTCACCACCATGAATACAGTGAATATTTTCTTCTCTGTGGGCCTGAAATTACAGAAAGAAATGTACCTCTGTATCAGGGTATAATGATTCATTAAATAAATGAGCAATGTAGTTCAGCAGTTAAAATCAAGGTATCTTCATTTTTTGGGAGCATACCTGGCAATGTAGCAGTCCACCACATTTGGACATGGCTCTTCACCACATTTTACCACAGGAGGAAAGAACGTCGCCCTGTAGATGTAGAAGAGAAGGAAGACAAACACTCCGTCCACCGTTATCTTGAACAGCAGGCTGAAGAAGTAAGTCCACCAAAGGCCCCCTCGCTTTTTGTCGGTGTTGGCATACAACGGAATGCAGTGTTCTCCATACTTCAGTCTGTGTTTGCGCTCCCGTTCCTTCCTGTAGGACACATGCAGAGTAACCAGAAGGGACGGGCAGGTGACAAAGATCAGCTGGAGAGCCCACAGGCGCGTGTATGCAACTGGGAAGTAGTGATCATAGCAGACGTTGTGGCAACCGGGCTGGCGGGTGTTGCAGTCAAAGTCCTTCTGCTCATCGCCCCAGACCTTCTCGCAAGCCACGAGAAAAACCAAAAGCCTAAAAATAAAAACAATAGCGAGCCAGATGCGACCAAATGCTGTGGAGTATTTGTTCACTCCACTCAGGAGACCCTCAAGAAAGCCCCAGTTCATTGTGCTGTCTTGGATCTTAGACACTCTACAGTTGTCGTCAGAGCTATCAGTTCAATTCGTATGCTTGGACAAACTAAACTAAGCAAGTGCTCGTGGGTGTAGTGATTATTACTTCTGCCTTCTTGGCACCAGCTGAAGGGGAGGGAAGAATATGGAGAATGTAAATACAGACTCATTCACTGCAGCAGGGTACCGTATATTAAAAACAAAACAAAAAACCATGTGTCTAGAAAGATTGTAAAGTCTGTTGGAGAGTGTGGGACAAAAAAAATTAAAGGTCAAAACAATTAAAAAAAATTAATATAGAGTTTAGGTTCTTTTTCTTAGTTCTTTTTCTGCTTTTATATTTTGGAACTTATACTTGCAGCAGATGTCCTCCCGTGACACAGCCTCTCAACACTGTGCACAAACATCACTTGAGAGACTATTTATGGAGAGCAGTTGATCTATTTGTGTAACTGATGTGATTGTACGTGGTGCAGACTTAATGATAGAACTTGCGTGACGTCATGTGTTGAAACGCCATCCACGGTTTGTACATGCTGTAATATCAGTGTGACGGGGGCTGTGGGCTGGGTGGTGCTGCGTCAAGTCGGACATATTTAGTAAATTCATTTTTTAGAAAGCAAAATAAAATGACTACAACTAAATTGTAAATATGTTTCATACAAATGTCAAAAATGACATTTACATGTTTTTATATCCTTATGAACATATATGTTTGCTAAAACAAGACTGCAAAAAAAAAAAAAAAACTAACACTGTGTATAATTTTGTAGTATCCAGAGTCTGCTGTATTCCGTGTACTGTACTTTATAGGATTTATGTACAGAATAACCGGAAATCCATATCATACAGTAATTGCTGCTGGCTTTACTAGTGTCTGGAGATGGGTCATGTATTGAGACGGAGTCTCTATATTTGCATACACTATTTCCTTACTGCATAGCTGAAAGACAATATGACCCTGCTTCATCGTTTACCCTCCACTCGTTACTGAGCCGTCTGTTCCGGCCTAAGGAGTTACTTTAATGACTGTAAGACTTTTCTCCGGAGTTTTGAATCCCCCCTCTGAGACCAGTCGGCTGCTGCGGTCCCTCCACGGCAACGCGAGGTGAGTAGAGGTGCGCTGTTTGTCTGCGGAGTATTTATCCGCTACTAGCCTCCAATAGCTAACTCTGCTAGCGAAGGTAGCTAAGTCATTAGCCACAATCTGAGTCTTAGTGTGTTAAAGGTAAGCGTTCACACGCGTGGATCAGTGATGCTGTTGTTAATGTCAGTGCATTTAAAAGCATTTTATAGTCAGTGAAACATGTACTATACAGTTAAAGTTTCAAGTAAGTTGGGAACCGAGAGCCAACCAAGTTGTGGAGTCAAGGTAATGAGAAGAAGATGGTGTTTCTGGTATCCTTCGAAATAAAAGGCCTCGCCGTCAAACCTCTGATCTAATGTTCAAAAATCACTGGCTTTAGTGTCCAAATGAGTTTTATTTCGAGCAATATTCTCATAATAATATTTTGGTGAGTAGTATAAAGTATATATTCTTGGTAAACTTTTTTGCAACTTTTGCCTCATGACAATAATATGATATTTTGTGCCAATGTTTCACACTGCATTTTTACACATATGTTGCACTCTTACTTCTATTGTGGTAACATCACCCATTGAACAAAAATACAGGATGCGTGATGTAAAAAATATTTCTTAGGCTAGATTTTAATCAGAGTAAATAGTCTGCCATGGCAGTCTTTGTACACTGTAGGGTGCAACCCTCTAAATGGTCAGCCTTATTGTTCAGTCTCCTGTGGTGGTTTATTATTTTCTGAGTGTTACTTCGATTAAACATTCCATCATCCAGAACTGCTACATCCATTTCTTACTGTTAGGCTTTTATTGTGAATGTCACTTGGCAGCACTTCCACTTTCTTCTTGACTTATTTTCTTGAACTTACTAAGAACAGATAGCATCCAGGCAGCCAAACGGAGAAGAGTTAACGGTGTTAGCTTAGCCTCCCTAGACTGCTAACGAGCAATAAAGCAGCATGGTAACGGGCGCAGCTTAAGCGCAGCACACTGCAGCAGCTCTGCTCTGCTGTGTCTCTCTGTAGAGATCCAGCCGAGTTGACACTCCGCTGAGCCATGCGACAGTGGTGTGTCCCCGCTGCGACCCCACGCACTGAACCACTCCCGCGGCCCCTGTCTGTGTCTCCCCCTCCATCAGGTAAGACAACCTCGGCGACGAGACAGGGTTTAACATAGTTTTGAAGACAAGTCCAATTGGCTGCTTTGACCTGAATGCTACTGTTTTGCTTAGAAAATAAACAGTGTAAATGCGATTCGCTTCTGTCATGTCAGCACATCTTTAACGCTGTGTAAATGTCAGACGCGTTGACTGTTGTGCTTGTCATCAAATGAACATCTGTGACGGCTCTCGACTCAAGGTCCCAGGGAAAAAAATCTTAATAAAACCGAATTTAAGATCGGTGTATGTTTACATCAATTGGGATTGACTCTTTATAGGCTTATCTTTTTGCAGAAATATCTAACACTTTCATTCAAGTAAGACAACTTTAAATCCTTAGTATAAACTGACGAATTAAAAAATGAGAATGGCACCCATTTGTAACAAACATTAAAGAATGTTTCTCCTTGCATTTTTAATTTCCAAGGTCACATCAGATACATTTTTTAATTATTTCTAATTTATGTTGTCACACATTGACACAAGACATACAGTATGTTAATGTGGTATCTGCATCCTTTACAAAGCTGCACCATGTAAGCAGACGTGAGAGAGGATAGATGATGGTGACTAAGCTGAGAGGACCCAGAGTATGCCAGGGTGATCTTACTTTAATTTTACTTTGTAAAAATGGAGCAAGGTTAGATCCAAGTGCTTGTGCCAAGTGTTTTGACAGGGTGCCAAAATTTGGAATGACCTGAGGGTTTTCAGAGGAGAATGCAGTGAGTTTTCGCTCCTTCGTTGAGTTTTAGAAGTCATTCTGGATGTTAGCATAAAAGTTGTTTGATATCAAACCAAAGAGAAAAAAGCAATTTGCACTTTTGCTGTTGCAGTTGTTGGAGTTAAGTAAACGTCAAGCACAAACACATTTGCATTTTTTCCCCACTGTGTGTTCAGCTGTTTAAATGCTTTGATGATGTTTTACACTCTCAGCAGGATCTAAAAACTCCTGGAATATATTGTCTAAATGTAAACAAGTGCAGTGAAGATATAAATATGTATGGCACTATAGGACTTGTTTATCTTGTGAGAAATCCACCCAGCAGTGCACAGCTTCAATATTATTAATAGAGCTGCAGTTGGTTCATATTCACTTTCCAAGTTGGTCTTGTATTTCATTGAAAAAGCCAGTTTCAGGTTCACTTGCAAAATTAACTCTCGTCATTACGTATACAGTTGCCAGAATGGAATGCTGCGAGGTGGAGCCACGGTACACCATCGAACAGATTGACCTCTTGCAGCGCCTGCGCTTGTCCGGCATGTCCAAACCCCAGATCATCCATGCTCTGGAATCCCTGGAGAGGCTGGACCCAGAACACCGCCCATCACATTGTGATTCACACTCGGCCCCGTCTAATAACAACACCCCCACCACAGCTGCTCCAGCTCCGTCCTCATCGTCATCTTCCTCTGCATCCTCACTTTCTTTAGCCTCTGCTACCACTCAGACCTCTGGCCTGGACGGTGCGGCGCTGTCCCCGAGCCACAGCTACGAGGCCTCGCCTCCACCCCTGTACCCTCCCAGTGTGCCTGTACAGCGGTCGTTCAGTTATGACATGTTGGGGGATGAGGAGTGGGACCTGGAGGAGAAGGTAGAGGAGTACATGAGGTAAGGAGAGACAGAGTTCTCTTGACTGTTTGGAGCACATGTGTCAAACTTAAGGTCCGTGTGTCGAATTTGTACAGTCGCTTAAGGTCTAACTTTTTTGTCTGATACCAAGACTACAACTTGGATTATCTTCCAATACAGATATCAATCCGTTACCTTTTTTTGTCCTCCAGCATGCTGCGGGCTGCCGTTGCTGAGGTGATAGTATCCATGTTTACGGCATGTCGCATAAATTTAAGCTGAGCATTGGGGCATTGTTATCAATATTGGACCGATCTTGAGCCCGAGTATCGGATCAAGACATCCATATTTCTATTGTATATATGTCAAATTGTGTGTTTGCAAAATTGCATGCACGGTTACAATCACAATTTTACCTCTCTAATTCCAATCCTAATTCAATTCTATTTATTTAACATTTTAAGAGCAACAATATGCTTATTTTCCATGATGTTTTTGTATTAAATTTCATTTTTTATTTATTTTCTGGCTAAGACATTGTGAGTACCAGACTTTTAAATGTTAATCCTGTAACAGTATTAAATTTCCGACCCCTAGGGTGATTGAGTTTGACACCTCTTTAAACATTAGAGTAAGCCAGATGTAAATTAGAGCTAGTTGAGAATAAGTTTCAGACAAGGTGCGAGAAAGAGTGGAGGAGATGGAGGAGAGCCCATTATAACATCAGGTCAGGAGTTTAGGGAGGTCTGAAAAAAGATGAGCTGCAGTGAACAAGGTTAGCCAGAGCGGAGGTATCGCCATTATCCACAGTGTAATGGATCTGGTGCTACAATATTGTCGTGTTGCTTTTACAGGAGAGACAGCAACCTGGTGAAAGAAGAGATCAAAACATTTCTCAACAATCGCAGGATCTCTCAAGCAATCGTGGGTCAAGTCACAGGTAACATTCTTTTTGACAATAGAGCCTATTCCACTGCTGTGAGTTTACAAGTCAGTAGATGGATACTTGAATGTTAGACAAAATGCTTGAAGTCAAATGAGCTTGCTCCCTCATCAGAAGGTTGATCACTAAATACCCAATTTACTTGTACTGCATTTCTTAAGTCTCCTTGCCCTATACAGCGACTTCTAAATTACCCCATTGGCTTGATTGGCCTTGAGCAAATAATGCACAAACCTATATATTTAATGTGGTTAATGAACACACCCATTAAAAAATCAAAGTGCTGCAGGAAGAAGTAAGTAAGTGCTTAAATTAAATAACTGGTTCAACCTCTTTTTTTGGGCACTTTGGCCACATACCTTTTCAGCAACTGTGAGTCTGAGCTGCACAGAATCTAGGAGGGATTTCTAATTGGTTTTCCAACAGTGTCAGCTCAGACATATTGCTTTTGTTGTGTGATGTTTATGTGGTCTGCTGGAGAACTGTCTTCTTTGAGCGTTTTCTTTGTTTACTGTGACAACAGATTGATCCAAATTAATTTAAAACGAATCTGTCAGAGGTTTATTATTGAGAAATGCTTTTTAAAATTATGAATGGTATTGGTAAGAAAATTGCCTAAATTCAGGATTTAATTCTTACTGTCATTCTCTGATATCATTTACAGCATACATGCACAATGGTTGTTTTTATTCTCCATAAATCACTGGTGTATTTTGGTAGATGCTGTGGAATGTCAAGGACATCTTTGGTATCTGTTTGGACAGCAGCGTTAGTGCATGATGATTTACTAAAGGTAGATTCATAAACACATGCGTTGGTAATGTAGTGTGTGTGCCTTTTGTTTTGTTTTGTCTTTTGAGTCAGGAATTGTTGTTTGATCCCTTCGTCTCAGGGGCGCAGCCACAAAAATAAACCATTTCTATTAATAATCACTTTGTTTTAACTGTGGACAATCTTTGAGATGACTTTGTTACCATTTTCAGTGTCGAGGAACAAAAGAAAAAGATCATTGTTCTTAAAATTTGTTTTAACAAAAAAGTTTTTCTTCAGCAGAGTGTTCTTGTAAAGAACAAATACAAACCTTTTGAAACGTTTTAAAAAGATACACCGGGATTATTGTACGATTACTTTCATAGATGTAAATTATGTCATGTAAACGCCATGTTATTTCATGTGGGAGTAAAAACATTTAGATGCCATTTTTAATTTCTGGATACAGATACACCTATTAGAAATGTATGATGACAATTTAAGAAATCGGAAAATATTTTGGATCCCAGAGAATGTAGGTCAATATTTAGGGCACTAAAACCCCAAGTGTTGATTAACAGGATTCAAGTCATTTAAAATTAATTAACATTTGGCATTGTGCAATAGTTTTAAATAAAGTTCACTGGAGGTTTTAAAGCAATAGCTGCATATATATAGATGTGATAGGCCAAACAACACAAGGGGTCGCTAGAACAAGTTTGAGAGCTACTGAAATAGCCAATTAGGGCTGATTTTGGTTTTTAGTTTTACTTTTGACATCAATTTGTTTGCTATTAGCACAATGCATAAACAACAGTACGGCCCTTATCTCAAGAAAGAGAGATCTTGTAAAGCAGACCGTGACAGATGCTTTTGTGTATTTGTTTAAGGGAATCCTTTTATTGCATTTACTGATTTTATTCTTTTAAAAAGCCTGAGAAAGAACTTGTACATAAATATGCATTTTGACAAACCCTAAATGGAGAAATTGGGCTGAGTTTTGTTTAAGTAATATGCAGCTCTGCAGTGGTAATGTGCTTGTGTCACTGCGGCCAAGGTGCCACTTCTGAACTATTGCTGTGTTTCCCCCCTCTGTCCTCCCTGCAAAGGTTTTGCATCAAATCACATGTCCTTAATTCAAGTATCGATATCGGGTTTCATTAGCTTAACAGGAGTATTCCGGCTGGCTCGCAGCCGATCTCGGTAGTGCCAGTGCTGTTGGCGCAGCATGAAATAAATCAATGTCTTAAATGTGTCAAGAAAACATGTCCCACCTCATGCACACAGGAATCAGCCAGAGCTACATCTCCCAGTGGCTGCTGCAACAAGGCCTGGAGATGAGCGACTCCAAACGCAGAGCTTTCTACCGCTGGTACCTGCTGGAGAGAAATAATCCAGGTGAGAAGCTGGTTGAGTTAGAGTGTAGAACAATAAAATTTTCTTTTTTTTTTGTCAACTGTGGCAGAAGAGATAGATGTTGTGTTACAGCAAGAGTAATTATGAGAGTGAAGATCTGGGTCTGAAGATTGAAGTTGTTAATCATGATAGATTATTAGATATAGAAATACAGGAGGCCAGGTTTGTATATTGAAAATGTCCTATTTTATGTGTGAATGAATCTGAACCACTGCATGCCAACTCCCTGCCCTCCCGTCCCCTTCCCTCCCCCTTCATCTATTCTCTTCTTTGTCCCCATCCTCTTGCATGGTGAAACCCCCAAACACCTCTAATACCTGACCGCTAACGGCATTCTGGTCCTTGGCACCGAGGTCAAGGAAGGACACAAAATCTATAATTTCAGAGGAAAGACAAGCAATAAAAGTAGTCCTGTCACAGGAGATGATAATCAATATTTCGAAGGCCCTCTGCTTTCGAAATGAAACTCAAGTGCATGAATGTGGTTCGTCTGTACAGTCTAGAGTAACAGCTTGGCTCGGTGGTGACCTCTCCTTGTCCTAGGATATCGAGATGTGTTTATCTGCAAAAAAAAATACAGTGTGGTTTCAAAAGGGATAACTACCTGCTTAAGATGCAGCAGCAGCCTTCCACAGTACTTATGTCAAACACGCATTGACGCGGTCGTATCACAACTCGGTGCAGCTTCATTTTCCGATGTGAACGAAGCCACCGGACCATCTGCTGTCCCTGCTCTTCTCCATCATTTTAGTCCTTTATCCCCCTTTCCTGCCATGCAAGCTCTCCTTTGGCTCCTCTGTAGTTCTCAGCCCTGATGCTGGAGGTACTCTGGTGCTGGTTTTCATTCCTACATGGCTAACAAACAAGCTTTTAACAACGATACTAACATTAACTATGTTTTCCTGCAACGCTTCAGACAAAGCAGTTACGGTGCTTTGTTTCTGACCGAGGCTCCTATTGACCTGCCCAACCAGAAAATGTACAGAAATTTAAATTGACAAATTCACTTTAACAACAATATTTAAGAACCCCCTCTACAAATTTTACGTGTGAAAATTGCCAGACGGGTCTACAGGAGTGTGTCAGTGAATCCACCTTAATCTAAATGTCCAGTGACACCAGCTGAACTTGTCAATATAAACTGATCTATGGCTGTGGTCTGCCTGACCATTGGTTTTGTCCTGACTGAAGGGCTGAGGTGGAGTGAAAGCCAGCACAGCGTGAGTCCCATGGCCAGGGCCAGGGAAGGGGGCCGGGACGGAATGGTAGCGGGGGCAAGTGGCAGCCTCCCTAACCCAAACACCAACCTCAACCCCAACCCTGTGTGGAGCAGGCAGAGAGAGCTGTTGATGCACTTGCTGCCGTGGTACACTGCTGCTGCCGCAGCCGCCCACGCCCAGCCAGGTAACCAGCCCCGCTATGTCCTGGCATCAGCAGCTTGCATCAGGACATCAACCCCTCCGCTCAGTAGCTGACTTGCATGTGGCCACTTAGCGACTATAGACTGGTGGCCATCTTGAAAATGGATGTCTTGCACCAAGGTTTTTCACCTGCTATTTGTACGTACAAAAGGAATGTGACCCCAAAATATATGCCGTCTAATAGTGCTGGGTTTGTTTGGATGTTTAGTGAATTGGTACTTTTTTTTTTACACTTTAAAATGGATTTGTTTTTACCTATTGACAATCGGCTTCAACAATTTTATAACATTAAGAAATAACACAATGCTTGATAAGCAAGCTACTATGCTATCCTCTTTTATAGCATCAGTTTTATATTGTCCATATCAAAATAGGAAACGTTAAATATCTCTCAAATCTAGTTTATGCAGAATTAATGTTGCTGCAGGGCAGTTGTCACATGACCAGGTTGTCTGTGCAGGCATTTGTTTCTCAGCAGTCACTGCCATTTACATCCAAAGGAGAGAGTTAGTCACAGAGATATTTACTGCGTATGTTTCGTGCTGCTGCTAAAATGTGTTGGCGCTTTAGCTAAACTCCTTATGCTGATGTAATTCTTTTATGATGTATGGTCTACAGAAGACTGAAGTTGGTTAATTGTTAAAGGATTTAAACAACGTATGAACGTAGATATTAATACAGCAAGACTGCGCTTTGCAAATTTAAACTATATTTTATTCTTTCTGCTTTTTTGGATCATTTTTGTGGTCCAATGTCTTCTTTAATATGTAACCTTATCCTCCTGTTGTCATTAAAACTCAACAGCCCTGTCGTTGCCTCTGCTGCCTCCTTCAGGTGCCACCTTATCCATGCGTTCTCTGGTGAAGGAAGAACCCGACTGGAGGACGGGAATCATGTCCACAGACAGAACAGGGATCGTGGGTGGACCGTTGAGACTGCGCAGAGGCAGCAGGTTCACCTGGAGGAAGGAGTGCCAAACAATCATGGAGAGGTGAGGGGATTATCTTTAAATAGCATTAAAAAAATCATATCTTCACAATAGATTTTCCCCACTTTTTTCAGTCAACACAGTGATAGAAACACCATTCATTATCGTATTCTCATTAGTCAAGTATTAATACCTACATTAGTTGATCTGTATGCTGTTCTTTCATAGGATGTCTAGGTTTAGTTATTGACGGACTAGTGAACATCTTCTTGTTAAAGAGATAAACACTACATCAGAACGTGTGGGAAAACAGCCGTATACGTAGACAACATTTATGCCACTCTAATGTTTCTGCCTTATATAATTAAACGTTTTTTTTTCTTCTTTACATTAAAAGCTGCGTTTGCTGAGTGCACAGAATCTATTTCCATATGATAAGAAATGCTGCATTTCCTAAGCGTAAAGTGTATAAATAATCTCCCCAGGGTGAACGTCCTTTGTCTCACCGCGACTTGCAGCCTTTTTGTTTTGGTCGAGAAACATCTCATTTATGTAGCAGTTTTTTTTTATGAGCCGCGTTATGTCCCAGAAGAAAAGGGATCCGACATTACTGCACACGCTGCACGGCATTTGATTTCTCTATTACATGGTCGCTCTAAGTCTTGCCTGCAGATGGAGTGCTGAGCTTCAGGACTTGGACTAAAACCTGTCTAAGTACATGACGAGTGGAGGCGAGAATAAAATGCATATTTTGCAATTTGACAAAATTATTATTTGTTTTCCTAAATGACGTAGGAGGAATGGGTCAGGAGAGTTTGCTGAGTTTTAGGGAATTAGTTTTTTGTGTCGTTATTTAAGCATTACTGCTCTGTTGTAGCAATCTCTAATGGGAGGTTTGAGGTATGATGTAACCAACACAGTTCTTTTGCAGCCCTCTCATAATCATGCTGTCTTCGATGTCCGTCTCTTTCAGTTTCTTCGTGGAGAACCAGTATCCTGATGAAGCCAAGAGAGAGGAGATAGCCAGCACCTGTAACTCTGTCATTCAGAAACCAGGTACTGTGCTGCTTCTTAGAAAATACAACAAGGTTTCCTTGTTAAAAAATGTTGAATATCGCTAAGCACTGTGTAACAACATAATGATTAATCATTTTATTTGATATCGTTGACAGAAGTAAAAATGACTGTCATGTTTGTTATTTATGTTTGTCTTTATCAGGCTGTAAGTTGTCTGAGTTTGAGCGAGTGACGGCACTGAAGGTGTACAATTGGTTCGCCAACCGCCGTAAGGAGATGAAGAGGCGAGCAAACATCGGTGAGGAACCTATAACTCATGAGGAGTCTTGTAGAAGGGAGCATTTGTTTCTCTGCGTATGTTGATATTTTTTTCCACCAACCTGTTGCTTTTATCTGGTATTCCCATTCCCCACTTTACTGCCCTACTCAACTAGAGGCTGCTATTTTGGAAAGCCATGGAATCGAGGTGCCAAGTCCGAGCTGTCACTCAAACGGTGAGGAAGGGGAGATGCAAGAGTTTGGTGATCAGGTGAGTTGTCCACTCTCACATCAAATAAGTTCAAAGTGAGCGAGTGATGACTTTTGAGTTGAATCCTGGGGACCAATCACAAACACTGTTTCCAAAAGCCTCAGCCTGAAATCAGTTCAATAAAGTTTGTAACGCCATATCGGCCGACTGATATTATCAGCCTGATATTAGCAAAATTGAGAAACACTGTTTTAAACCCTCAAACAGTGGGTTAAACATTGGAAATTAAATGTTTGGACAGTATCGGAATATTGGATATCTGCAAAAGGTTCATATCCGACATTCCTACTTTCAATTATTTTAGCCAAACAATTTCAAAACTTGAAAATATGTTGTTAGGTTAATCCTAACACGACTGAAAACCAGACATCGACCACATGTCCTTTACAGGAAGACGTGTCGGCCCAGAGGATGGTGGACCAACAAGACACGCCCACTATGATTAATACCGAACTGGCGGTCATGTCAAACCCCACCTCCCAGGCACTGGAGCAGAAGGAGGAGGATTCCAAAAGGGAGACGGTGGACGAGGAGTGACTCGGGGACAGTGCCTATACGGATCCCCCCTATTTGAATCAGAAGAGAAAAGGGAAGTGTTTCCTGTTTCACTCAACATCAGGCTTTTTGTAGGAGCTGTGACGGCCAAAAAAACCTCAAAGGCAGATGAGCGCTGACGCTCACTGCGGTGCCTTTGAGCATAAGAAGGCCACTGTATTTATCAACATAATCCTAAAGCTTATATTAACAGCAATATATCGTATACATACATATAAATATATATATAAATATATAGTGCATTCCAGAGTATTAATACAAAGCCTAATTAATTCCCCAGGGGGAGAATCTTATAAAGAATACCTCGCCCATTTTAAGCTAAGCTTTTATTTTCTGTTATCTTTGCTAAGTGCTCTCTTCAAGCTTATTTCAAACAGCATCTGTTTGATGGACATCCATTACTTACCAGTGATTTAGTAAGAACCTGCAGGTCAGGTCGTGATGGGTGGAAGTGGAATCATTGTGTGAAAGGCGAGGATTTGCGGCACGCCCGCTCATAACGCGCCACTGCAGGGCGCCCGCCAAGCCAAGACTTGAACCTCAATCAGTCGACCGATGAAATCCGTCGACCAATGCTGACACTATCAGATCTGTAAAAGCCCTGAGGGACGACTGGAATCTCAGGTAAATCCCAAAAACTCGAGGATTAAGGTGGTGAAGCCTCGCACCGTGTCCCTTGGCTTTTGTTTCCTTCAATGTTAACTGTATTTAACCAAAACAGAGCGTGTTATTTATACTGTTTTATATTAGCAACAGCAAGCCTACCACAGTACACTACACAGTATTATAATATACAGTAATATCTCTCTTCTTTGGTGGATTTCCTTTGTTATACTGAATGCTGCTCTTTTTGTAGTCATTTCCAAATCCGTCTCAAACCTCACTAGCCAGTGATGCAAAGCTAGACTAGTCCACTCTTTTTTTAATTCAATGTTTTAAACACAAATGAACAAAAAAAAAAAAAAAACACAAATGTAATCACACATCATAGATGTCTGCCCTCATACATACGCACCTTCTCTAATATCGGAATAAGCTGAAACCCAAGCTGATGTTAAGTTTGAATGACTGCAAAGCTGCACTTCACAGTGGATCCCACTCTAACGACAGGGGGCAGCCATGAGGTTTAAGACATGTACATAATAAAAGCAGAACATTTACACGCCCATTGGTGCTTGCCTTTAGATGGCAGTAGCTGTTATCGGTCAAACTTGAAATATGAATAGTTGACTCTAAATCTGCGTTATGTAACCTATCATGTTCCCCGGCCCAAGGCCTTGGGAGTTCTTCCCTACCAGTTCATGAAATGGACACAGAGAAAAGCTTATCCTCCTGTACGCCCGGCAGGGTGCTACCACGTTACCTCCTATTGCCAAAGCTATGCCAAGGTAGAGATGAGCTCCTGTAATCTTTGCTTACAGGGAACAAAGCCAGATGGTCACAACAGTACAGTATAATATATATATATACTACAATATTTAATAGATGTTTATTTGCTCAGTACAACACTAGCCAACCTTAGTTTACCTCAGAATAACAGTGTGTCATCCACGTGTCATGGACTGTTCTCAAAGACACAGATTGACACCACAGCCATCGTTGTGACTGTTTATGACATGAACAGTGTTATGTAGCATTTTCCGGCAGTGTAGTTTTGCCTGGTATTGTAAATGTACAGTATACTCACCTCAGACAGTCCACCAGGAGGAAGCCAAAAGCTGCACGCTGTTTCTGATTAAACTGCTCTCTATCTGCTTTTATCTGGGAAAAAAAACAGTATCAATAATAAAATGGGTAACAACATGTTTGACATGGTCTTGGTTTGTTCTGACTGTTTTAAGATGGAGGTCACTAAGCACCAGGTCCCGGCCGTGCACCAGGCCATGAGTGATTATCAGTTTTTAATTTTTATATGTTTATCAAACCTAAAATTTAAAACTCACCACATGGTTTTGTTTATTAGCTTTTTGTGTCTCTTGTACAATATCTATTATTTGTACAAAACCCTAATCCACTAGGGGGCAGAATACATGTATCAGATCCTTTATAACAGGTTTTAAAGGAAACTGGTGACTCCGTGTGGTGGTGTCAGGAATTACACCTGCACTTAACCTGCAGCCTTGAAGGTTGTTTATGTGTTGAGAAGTTTTAAGAAGCTGAAGGTGGGTTTTAATTGTAGCTGATAGCAACCGTTACATTTACTACACTAAATGATTTGCGTGGAAGCGTCTGCTCTTTTACAGTGCGGCCGTAAAAAGTGCTGGGCTGTGTGATCATACCCAGGGAGGCAGAACCTCAGGGTCAGTGGAGAAGACGTTGGCTAATAAATGTGATGCAGCTGAGCAACGGGGTCAGCGAAGCAGTGACCTCTGAATGGACACGTCCCTACAGCAGCTGCTGAATCTACGATCCACCACCACGTGACCTGATCATGACAAGCAGTTAGCTGCTCCACAGGCGACTAAGGGAAATATGTAAGGACCACTACGAAATTTTTATGATTTTATTTTCTTTGTAATTAACACCATGTATGTTAATAGAATTTAACAAATCAGCAATGCAGGTTGCATTCTGAATGTTGTGAGACAATTTGTATCTAAAGTGAAAAAAAGTGAACAGAAACAATAGGTTTGTTACATCAAGAAACAAACATTTGAGCCCCCGAATTTAGAGACAAAATTGTTTGTACAGGTACAGTTGAATCTGCAGTTTTGTTAAATTTATAAACCTTTTCCGTGTTTGTCAGTTTTAGGCACAAAGCAGTCCCTTTCCTGGCAGGTGGCGCTGTGCGTGGATTTCCAAGGCCTGTCACATGATCAAAATGTGCAGACACAACAATATCGTTATCCTGACTGTAAGTCTAATTCAATAAAACAAATTAACTTAGTCGCTCTTAGTTCCAGAGTCCATTCTTGATTTTTCTCTATGGACTTTGGCCACAGACATTTAGGAATGTTGACACGAGTTACCCATAATGACACTTTGCTTTTGAGAAAAGTTCCAAATAAATTCCAACACTCCAAATACTTGCGGAAGAGGAGTGTGTTCACCCTTTGTGACATTATTTAGGTTAAATACGTTTAATAATACGCCAAAGAAATGATAGCAGTCTACATGAGCTTCATCATGAGTTGGATTATTCTGGGTAATCGCAGATAAAATGCAAATTTGATAAAAATCTAAAAATTTAATTGAGATACTGTAAAGGTTTCTGTGGAGAAGCTGTGTGTTCTCAAACTGTCCACTAGAGGGCATGCATTCACGCTTAGACTTTTCAATAAACACTGTCTGCTGAGCCATAGAGTCAAAGTCTTCCGGGGAAGCCACCATGGTGCTTCTCCTTCAATCTGCTTGCCTTCTCCCGGCTGTTATGGTCATTTGTTTTTCCTTTACCGGGGACGCCGTGCGTTACGATCCAAACTGGTCAAGTCTGGACGCCAGACCTCTGCCCACGTGGTACGACGAGGCGAAAATCGGTATCTTTGTACACTGGGGGGTCTTTTCTGTGCCAAGCTTTGGGGAGTTCAGCGAGTGGTTCTGGTACCATTGGAAATCCGAAATTCGCACAGACGTCATTCAGTTTATGCTGGAAAACTACCCACCCAGCTTTGAGTACGCGGACTTTGCGAGCGACTTTCGTGCGGAGTTCTTTGATCCGGATGCATGGGCAGATATTTTCAAGTCCTCTGGAGCCAGGTACTGTCTTCCGTCAACAAGCCTCGTCATTCAAATGAGCACGATCCTGGTGGAATTCAGTAAACAGTAATTCGGCAGATGTACTATAGCTTTTGCGTTGTTAAATTGCACAGGGTTCTACCTTTTTTTTTTATTTAACAAACATCTATTTATAATGTTTGTTCTTCTGCTCACCATTTACTCATAGGTGTACTTTCGTTTTATTTAATATTTCCCGTATCTGTATTTATGTCTAGTGATGTTAAAGCAGTAACGCAATAATCTTCAGTGTGTGTGTCATTTCCCTGTCATGTTATTGTTCCTTGTATTGACTTTACGTGTTGGCGTGTGGAGGCGTCGTTTAATATATTGATATCATCATGTGTTTCACGTTGAATTTGAAAGGTTACTGAGCTTTTATTTGTTATTATTATTTCATTAATTGAATGATCTTTCAATGCTTAATCGCTGGTAAAATGTACCATTGCACAACCCTTAAAAAGATATGGTAGTAGAAAATAAATAAATCAATGGTTCTCTGTATTTGCAGGTATGTGGTGTTCACATCCAAACACCATGAAGGATTCTGCAACTGGCCATCTAAAGTCTCCTGGAACTGGAACTCAATGGACGTTGGGCCTCATAGGGACTTGGTAGGAGAACTGGCTGCAGCTGTCAAGAAAAGGTAAATAGTTGTTATGTTACAAGGTGTAAAGGTGAAGAACAGTTATTTCTATTTGTTGTTTTTTTGGGGGTTTTTTTTGTTGATGTTTGTTTTTCACAACAGGCAATTTTGTAGGTGATGATCCCATTTTGAAGGAAAAGCTGAGAAAGCAGGACAGAAGACGGTCTATATAAACATATAATGACAGCTTAGCTGCATAAAAAACATTTATAGAGTCTTTATAGAGTCACAAACATCAGAGTCAAACAAAGTCACAAACATACTTATGTGTGGTAAATAGGTCACATTTTATTGTTGTTGCTGACGGGGGACTTCTTGAAAAAAACAGCAGGGCACACAACTCTCTGAACAAACAATCACCTGACAATTATGATGCCACTAAACTAAAACACTTTGGCTATACCTTCTAATAACAGACTTTGGGCAAATATGTATATTAACTTGAAAAGATTGGTGTTTGAGAAATTAATCTATATCAAGTGCTATTTAAAAGTTAATTTTTTTTTTATTGTTTTCTAGGTCAATACACTGGGGTCTCTACCACTCTCTTTATGAATGGTACAATCCTCTCTACTTGCTGGATAAGGCCAATGGATTTAAGACTCAAGATTTTGTTGCCATGAAGACTCTTCCAGAGCTAATGGACCTTGTGTTGACTTACAAACCTGAATTAATCTGGTCTGATGGAGACTGGGAGGCAGATGATACTTACTGGAATGCCACCCAATTTTTGGCCTGGCTGTATAATGACAGTCCAGTCAAGGTAATTAAAATAGGTATTTGAAAACATTTGGACTACGGGTATTAAGAATAAATATTAAAATATATTTTATATTATATAATATATATTAAATGTTTAAAAAAAATAATAGTGTCTGTAGCTCTTTATAGCTCTCTTACTTTATGGAGAAATGTCTGGAAAATAATCAACTCGACCTGCTTTGCATGTTCTCACTTCTCCTTTCATTGTTGGTGATATTCCCGCAAAGACTCCGTTCCCGTTGCAACTCAGATGCTGATAGCTGAAAAAATAGTATAATTTGGTTGTAAAGGCTCTCCTTTGTGTGCCATTACCCTGTCTCAATGTTTCTGTTTCCTCAGGACCAAGTGGTAACCAATGACAGGTGGGGTAAGAACTGCGAGTGCAAACATGGAGGCTACTTCAACTGTAACGACAGATACACGCCAACCACCCCTCCAGACCACAAGTGGGAAAAATGCCAAACCATTGACACCAAATCCTGGGGCTACAGGAGAAAAATGAGGCTCATTGAAGTCATGGACCTTCCATCCATCGTAAAGGTGAAAGATCACGATGCTCGTCACTAACAACTCATGAGGTTGAAGTTCAGTAGATGGTGATGTTGAGCTAATGAACACCATCTTGCCTCAGGACATGGTTAATGTGGTGTCAATGGGCGGCAACTACCTGCTAAACATCGGGCCAACATCCACTGGTATGATTGCACCAGTATTTGAGGAGCGGCTGAAGGGACTCGGTGATTGGTTGGACATAAACGGAGAAGCTATCTATGCCTCTAGTGTCTGGAAAGTTCAGACAGAGAACACAACTGTGGACTTAAGGTGTGGCTGATTTATTCGTTATGTTCTGTGTCACATCATGTTTTATATAATTTTTCCTTAACCTTTTTTTTTTTTTTTTGTTAAAGTTACACTTCCAAAAACACTACGGTTTATGCAGTAATATTTGGTTGGCCGTCCAATCAAATAGTTCGACTGAATACACCAAAGACATCTGCAGCAACAAAGGTAAGCCTTACACACGGTGACTTTTATGCTGTTACACACAGTGACTTTTATCATGTACAATTATCTGTCTGTACTTTACACATTTAAACTTTAATATCCCCCTGCATTTACAGGTCACGCTCTTGGACTATCCAGGTACGCCATTAAAATGGGCACCACTGACACAAGCTGGTGGCCTAGTTGTTTTAATGCCCACTATGCCAGCTTCTCCTGCGAATGCCTGGACACTGAAGCTAGAGGGTGTAGTCTAGCGGGGCAACAAATGAGTGTAGCATTTATGTGCACCTTGTGGTAATCACATAGTTTTAATTTGTTTCTTAAATCAATCAAACAGAAAATTCTATTAAACAATAAACATACTGGATACTGAACTGTGCCACCACATGAAGGACTTGATGTACTTTATATTCAAACATGAAAAATTATCAAAGCAAACAGTTCGATCAGAAAAAATCCTAGTTGTCTTTTTAATAACAATAAAAATTATATGATTTTTATGAAGTTGTTCACTGTCATCCATTTCATCCACAGTGGTTCTGTTGAAGGCAATGGAACTGTCTTGGTTTCTAAAGTACTATCCCAGGAGGACTCCTCAGTTCTAAATTAAACCTTCAGTACTAATTATAAATAATGACATGGTTACGTATTTGAAGGAAAAGGTATTGTGTTTTTATTTGTTTTGGGGACTTTGAGGTTGGCTTAAGGGGAAAAGAAGAAAATAACACTCCAAACATGAACGATGTTGATAGTGGGAGTCCACAACGGCGGCTGCAGCATGTGTGTTGTGTTTGCACAAATGTCCATTTTGAGCAAACACATCCACCATCCAGTTCCACTTTACGTTGGCCATGTATATTCCCATGATCCATCACAGTCCGAGTGTTTATTTAGCCACCGGGTTTTCTCAGGTAAGTCATCAGGTGTAGCACTGGTTAACCACTGATCAAGGTAAGATTAGGCTCAGGGGGAGTTGTAGTCATAAAGTAATAAGTTAAAATATAATAAAATAAATCAAATAAATGGAAATTAATTGTATTGCAAATAAGCAGAAATATATAAGGATAAAGCTGTAAACTAATGAAGAAGCTATGACAGACAGAACTTCATTAATGACAAGCTTTGCCAAATCTCATGTCAGGAGAAAACTGCAGTTGTAGTTGTGCTACTGATTATGCTCTGGATGAATTAAATAACTCCAATTTATAAAGTCAAGTTCAAATTGTTAGAACTTAATATGGCTAAAGGAACTGCATTGCTGATCCTTGTTTGTACATTTCTTTTTTTCCTACATGTACTTTGTGTTACAGAACACGAACATGCTCCATATATGTCAATATATTTCAGTGCTTACAGGCCATGCCACTATTGGATTTAGCTTTTTTTTTTTTGCTCCAGTGATGCATCTCTCTCTTTTTGGAACTTATCCTGATAAATTATTAACAATTTGAACCAATACAAAAGTGTTTAGATTCCATAAATAAAGATTATTAATTAGTTTTTGCCATTTTAGTGTCCTGAGAAATTGGTGCTGATATAAGTGAGAAGCATACTGTAAGTATTGGAAAGATTGTACTGTACTGTATAATAAAGAATGGAATAAATCATTTTATAATACGTTTTGTAAATAAGTGTTCATTTCACTTATAATGTGTGACTTTTCTGCTGTTCAAAGAAAAAAA